TCCTTTAAATAGATGTTTGACTTGATTCATGATCCTTGCACTCTTTCTAACTAGATGTGCAGATTCTTCAATTGACCTTCCTGTCCCATGTACCTTCTTTTTAGCAGCTGCCATTTTCTTTATAGGCCGTATCATTTGATGAGAGCTCTGAGTAGGGTTATTGTTGGTGCCAGGATCACTTGGTTGATATGCAACTGGTGTTGGGTTCCTTGTTGGTGGTTGTTTTTGAATTGCACCCGATGTCCTTTTTTTTTTAGCAATGGCCTTTGGCGCCGTCCGTCCCCCTTGTCTTTCTTCCTGCCACTTGGGTTCCTCTTTTGGGTACAACCGTTGAATCTTGAGTTGGGCCATCTTGAAAGATAAGCACTTCCGAACTTCTCCCAGGCTACAACAACATAATCATATTATCAATAAAAAGAAATACCATAAATAAATTAAATGCAGGAGTCCTACAAAACTTACATTCAAAATAGTTATTCAAGTACGCTCGTCTGTAAAAAGACCATAACCATATTGTTTTAGCCTTTTCCCGAGAGCCCCTCTTGTTCGCAGTGGCACCTCACTTTCAGCAACTTTTGCAGTCGGTCTTCTTCTCACCTGATAAAGACATATCAAAGTTAAACTTTAGCCCAAAAAATAACACAAACACCAATTATACAGCTTATACGATATTTTCTCCTTGTCTGTTCAACATTTGACTTAGTGGTTGGCCCTTGGGCTGGCCCTTCAGTTAGCCTTTGCGCTGACCCTTCAGTTTGCTCTTGAGCTGGCCTTCCAGCTGGCCCTGCAGCTGGCCTTGTATCAGCCCCTTGAGCTATCCCTCCAGCTGGCCCTGCACAGCCCCTACACCTGACTCTACAGCAAGCCCTTCAATTAACCCTTGGGCTGGCTGTGTATCAGCCCCTACAGATGGCTGTTGTTGTTGTTGATGTTGTTTTTTCAATGCATAACCCTTTTTATTGTGCCATTCCTTTCGGCAATAGGAGCACGTCATCTTTACACCAGTCCTGCTCATTCTCTGAGTTGAAATCTCTCCCTCATGCAGTCTTTGTTTCTTTTTTGTCCTTCCAATTTTCTTCTTTAGTGGCAAAGGCTTAGGGGCTTCATAGTTTGTTGGCTCCTAGAATTTGCTACTTCTGATAGGCTGCATCATGAATTGGTACGAAGCAAGATATGTGTTTTTCTTGTACCAATCATCTAAGTAATCCTCTGGGTTTTGTTGCTTTAATTGGATGGCACAAATGACATGTGCACAAGGAATTCCAATTAGTTGCCAAACTCGACATGAACATTTTTGCCTCTCTAGATGGACGACATACTTATCAACATTATTCATGATCTCATATCCATCATCTCCATTCCAAATTGGATGACAGAACCTACTAGCAGCTGTGTTCTCATCCAATCTCTTTGCAATCCTGGGACCACATTGTCTAGTCCACTTTGTAACCTCATCTCTTTGTCTATGGAGCTGAGTCATGCCCATAACTTGTATGTCTTCAAGCATGCTAATGATGGGTTTGCACCTAGCCTCTAGTACTCTGCCATTGAAAGCTTCGCTGAGATTGTTGTCAATGATATCGCACTTGAATTCTTCGCTGAATAAAGCCCCACCCTAATGCTTAGGTTCCGTTTCGAACAATGCTTCAAAACATTCATTTGACAACTAAAACAACTCCTGCTTGGCTATTCTAAAATCAACCATGTTTATGCTCTTTGCTATATGCCAAAATTGCTTCCGTAGCTTATCCCCTTTATAATTCTTTGCCCAGTTTGTATATATGTGCCTTGCACACATTCTATGTTCAACATATGGCATCAACTTAGCTAATGTAAGAACAAGTCCCTACAATAATTCAAACCAGAAAATACTTGTAAGAAAAAATATGCGATTAATATTAAAAAATCAAGAGTTTTAAATGGCATTACCTTTTGTTGGTTGCTCATGAATGCCCAACCTTCCCCATTGGTTAACTCAAGTCGGCCGTTATATTTTGTAGAAACCAGGACCAAGTGTCTACTTTGACAACAGCCTGAGCTATTAGAAACATTTGGTTATTGGTATTTCTCCCAACAGCAGCCAATAACTCTCCCTTGCATAAACCCTTCAAGAAACATCCATCCAATCCTACAATTTGTCTACAACCAACTAAAAATTCCCGTTTGCATGCATCAAAGTAAACATAAAACCTATCGAACTTAGTCCCACGGTCAGGCAATGGCCTCTTAATAACCTCTACATATACTCTACTGGATGGGTTTTGAAGCATACATTCACAAGCATAATACCAAACTTGGCCATATTCTTCCTTGTACCGACCCATCAGTATACTCATCACCTTCTGCTTGGCTCTTTTGCACTGATTCCTCGGTACATTAACCTCTACCTGTTGCTTCACCAACTGCTTTAACTGAGGACTCTTAATCTCGGGCATCGCCTTTATAGTATTGAAGAAGTGCTTCGACAACCATACACTTGTTACCTTTTTATTGTCAAATATAATGGAACAAGTATGTTCCTGCTACAATGACCTAATCTGCAATGACCCACTTTTTTTATTCAGTGCATCATAGATCTTCCATGAATAATTTGGTTGCGAACACTTAACTCTCATAAATTCTTTCGTATTTCTAATAAATTCGACACTCCTTTGTTCAGCAATAGAGTTCTTGACAATAGCTTCTTTAAACAGTTTCGCATTATCAAATTTCATTCCTATAGACAAAACAGAACATGCAGCAGTCGGATCATAGGAAGGATACTTACTTTTCCTTCTACGGACAGGTACTTTGTCATCTTCAAGCTCGTTCTCGGAGCTAGCACTCTCATCTTTACCGCCACTCTGTTCATATTCAGTCTGATTACCATCAGTTGGAACTTCTTCGTTCCTATTCACTGGTTGTGGTTCATGCGATTCTCTCAATGATGTAAATTTATTTCTCAGAAAGTCTCTTTGCTTTTGCCTTGATTGTGCAAGTTCTTCATCATCATCGTCATCGTCATCACTTAAGATATTTACATTTGCCAAAACTTCATCATCCGATTCACTAGATTGAGCAACTTCCCAATTTAATCCGGTCAATTCTTCATCAGGTATGTCTTCACTAGAAACTTGGGGACTTGCTTCCATCTCTGGTCTCAGCTGTTGCCTTTCGTTCCCAGCCTGAGTACATTCTCCTATTTCTCCTATTTCAGTGCTCTCATCATCTTCATCATCTTCATAGTCACTGTAATACTCAACATAGACTTTAGCTTCTTCGCCATGAAGATAATGGTAAATAATGTCCTTAACACCATTATCACCATCGAAGAATCTCAAGCCGTCCTTCAAGCCCTTCCCAGGAACACAATAATGCAATTTATGTACTTTGCATCGTAAATAATGCATTATGTCCCTCATGAATTCAATATATGATGGCCTCCTTACATAAAAAAAATAGTACCTTCATTTCCACTAGCATATTCCCATTCCTCGGTGCTAATGACAAATTCCCAATCATAGCAAACAATGATGGCGATAACATTGTCCCTTATGCCCATGCTACATCGAAAGAAAACAAAATAATCAGCTTTTGGGACCACAACGCACAAAAGCCAACAAGTTACTCTAATTGTCTCGTTAGACTGAGTCAAGACCCTTGCAAGCTGTTTCAATGTATAGTGACACAATGAAATTTACCCAATGAAGAAGCAGATAGCTGAGTTACAATGCACCAGATCAAACATGTTCATAGGTCTGCCGAATCTCGTAAGATATGTAGGAGTACATCTGAGTTCATAATTCATATGCTTGTGCTAGAACCTGATAAATAACATTTAGACTTGCAGTTTTTGAGTATGCTTTGATCATTCATGTTACTCAAATTAAACCCTCAGAACATAGCCAACTTTTGACAAGGTTTTTTGTTATTGAATAGGGACAGATTGACACTCTTTTGAAGTTCAATCAGATTTCACATATCCCTGGAGTGCATAGCCATCCTGGAGAGACCCTGTCCACAAGGAATTCAATCCTTCCGTCGCCTACAGACTTGCTATTTGCTTGACTAATTCTTTGTTGTGACACTACAAGGGTGACAATTATGTACATGTGGAATTTGTCACTTACTTGGCCTCATGTGAGTAAAATACAAGAAAGAGACGTGTGTATTACACTCTGGAGGATCCCAAAAGAAAACAAAATAATTAGCTTTTGGGACCACAACGCACAAAAGCCAATAAGTTCACATGGAGGATTCCACAATCGCAACTAAATGATTAAACAAATTGCTATTGTCGATATAAAAAATCTTCAGTCGCTCTTGTTTAGTAGAAATGAAGCAACGAAGCTGGCACCGAGCCTTAGTTTGCCTTCACAATCAGAACCTGAGGTCTTCACAATCACCATTTCATAATTCCTTCTCTACTATTGTCATGCCTAGGTTATCTCTCCCTCTGAGCCTTAGTTTTGCTCTCGGAGCCATAATTGTGCCCTCGAAGCCCTAATTATCCCCTCGGAGCCCTAATTTTGCCATCCAATTGAGCCATGGAGAGAATATGACAAACCTGAATGACTGAGGGTAAGAGACGACACACGAGCGGTAGCCAACGACGATGGCGACGGAGCATAGCGACGACAACGGGAACTTCCTTCGCCTGAATGACGACTAGACGAGCCCTAATTTGGTCTTCTTTGTGCACGCCATTCAATTATCAAGGGGGAAACGACGTCGCATTCTTCTCCCAAGCCATGTAGGTAATGCGACATCGTTTTTGAAGTCCACGTGGACTTTATTTTTTAAAAAAATTTGTCAAGTCATTTACAAGATTTAATTAAAAATGCCACGTATACATTTTGGGCGGAATATCTCGCCGTTGGCACTTAAGTAATCGTTGTTTCTCCGATTTGGAGCTTAAGTAAGCCGATGAAAACTTTTGGCACTAAAGTGAGCGTCGTATATAAGTTTTGGCGCTTTTGCTGTTCTTTTCTCCCTTTGATTCAGCAAAGATTTTTTTGAGCATATTAACAACGCTTGAAGAATCGGTCGTATTTGCTACGGCCATGGAAGTGTCACATCACATCACATGGAATAAGAAGTGCCACTTCTCCTCACGATATAACTACTAAACTGCCCAAGTCAAGAATGTCAGGACTGACTCAGTCCGTTGTACCGTGGCTTTTCAAGTTGAGTTAAAGTTTAGTTAATTTGCTCGATGGGGAAACTCCCGTCCCGATTATTATAGTACGAACCGCATAATTTATTGTCACGAAGTTAGCTAATGTACTAAACCTTAAGAAAACGACATATATTCACACACACGCAAACGAGCTTGATAGCTTCTTGGTCATCTTCGAAGATTCATCTCACAAAGCACCAGAGGTTGTCCCATAGCTATCTCCTCTTCGCTTTCTTGAAGATGAAGGCAAGTTTGATTAATTGCAATTTGAACATCACTGTCAGGGTGCTTCTTAGCTAAGTCATCTTTATTCATCTACCATTTATTTTATTCCATTCCTGCAGCAAAAGATAGTGATCAAACTGTGCATGGACTGTGAAAAAGCAAGATCAAAGGCCATGAAGATTGCTGCCGATGCTAATGGTCAGTGAACTCTTTCTTTCTTGGCCGACCATGATACAGGGTGAAACATATATGTTCCTATGCGCACTTGACTTGACTTTTGAAATGTGATTGGCAAGATCAAAGATACTGTCATGCCGTGGCAACAAATGAAGTTAGTGTTTGAGGGCTTCGAGAGTCAATAATCTTCAATGTGGTTAAAAGGAAAAAAATCTCCCTGTTTACCAACATTAAAATGGTGATGATGTGACAGGCGTGACCTCGGTGGCGGTAGAAATAGACAAGAACCAGCTGGTGGTGACCGGGGAGGGAGTCGATATAGCTTGCTTGACGAGGGCGCTGAGGAAGAAGGTCGCTCCTGCCTCCATTGTCAGTGTCGCGGAAGTCAAGCCTGAAGATAAGAAAAAAAAAGAAGATAAGAAAAAAGAAGAAGAAGAGAAGAAGAAGCTGCTTTGTTGTACGCAGAAGCAATTTTGTTGTACGCAGAAACAACTTTGTTGTGCTCAGTACCCTGCGTGCAGTGTGGTTTACGATCAAGACCCACCTCTTTGTACCATCATGTGAGAGAGGCCATCCATAACAATTTGAGCCTGCTAAATTGTGAGATCTTGATCTAAGTTCGACATGACAGTGGTGGCTTCAATCTTTGATGCAGCCAATTGACCAAGAATTCCGCATGAAGTTTGTTGTTTCGGTGATCCCATCTGAGAATGTACGGAGACAGGTTGATAAGAGTTAATCAATTCTTCTTCTTCTTTCTGCTTGATTTCGCAGCTATATCTTGTCCAGAAACAATGCAAGGGGTCGGCCACTTTCTGTAGATTTGGCAAGTCATACATTAGGCGGCTGGTAGAAATGGCAACGCCAAATATTCACTTCTCCACATTTTGTCTCGTCATGTGATGCGTGAAGAATTATTTCCTTCTATTGTGTAAAGACATTCGGCCAGCCATTTATGAGTCAGACGTAACCAATACTAAAATCCGCTATGGTACATCTTAAATCGACCTAATACACGATAGGAAAAATTGTCTTTCGTCCTTATATTTTCATGTCCCTTATAATCAAATTCATGTGCTTTCAATTTGTCTAATCAAATCCCTTCGACGTTGATTAGATCAATCCAGCTGACAGGGTCATCGGGAAGTTTGATGTGATGTGATCAAAATTTTACAGCGTGGAAGTCCATGTGGCAACCAAGTTGGCAAGCATGAGAATTTTTCTTTTGCCTTTTTCATTTGCACGATGGCGCTCACGTGGCATCCATATTAACAAAATTATATATACATAGCCCGGCAATATTCAATAGTCACGTCAGTTGCATTTAGCCGGATTTCATGTTTTAGAAAATTAATTAGAAAATTCGCGAAAATAGAAGGACATGATAAGACAAATTGAAAATACAAGGATTAGAAAAAGTTAAAAGGGTATTGGGATGAAAAGTAACCTACATAATAGTCGAAACCGCTTATTATCAGCAGAAGTTTGTCTTGTAAACAAATGTCGTACATCAACGAGAAGATTAGAATGAAAATATTTGTTTATGTGTGTGTAAGTAACGCGAACCTAATTAAGGAGGAGAGAAACATTTCTAATCAACACTAGATATCGCATGACAAGTCATTTAAATGTTCAAAAGATAATTATTGCAATGCTGCAATTCTTAATGACTCTCGATCTTGGAAATGGCTTTTCTACGTTGAATGTTCATAACTGAATTACATTCAGGCCAAAAAATCACATCACATGGGTATTCCATGTAATTACCATGTATGACCAACTTCTCATGATACAGGAAATGTCTGTTCTTGCAGAACCACCAGTTGGCTAACATTTCAACAATAATTTCAGCATGATAAGAACGTTCATAAAAAATTAGAATTGTTTCCATTAACTAAAAGTCCAAAGCAGTGTTGGTAAAGACCCGAGCTTTGTCTAGATCTGACTGCAACTTGACAGCTACTTGGAAGATGATGATAATCTTCCTGATGTATGGACCACTTTAAAGCTGACTTCTCCTTGTGGCATCAATTGGGACTTGGCAAATTCAACTTGTATCTTCTTTAACAAGTAAATTATTCAATACATTAGTAGTCTAGCTGGTAAATATAGTGTCTACTATATCTCTACCACACACAATTTGAAAAACGGATTTTAGAATAATTTAGATTTGAACAGCTGCACAGTAGGGGGGGAAATGAAAAAATGTCCAATAGGATTGACAACACATACCCATGAATGGTTGGTATCCTCCCAAACAGGAGTTGCGTTGATTAAGGAGGCACAGTACTTCATAGTAAAAGCAGAAAAACCGAAGTTGACTTTTTGGAAGACTCAACTTACATTGACAGGGAGAAGACAGATATTACTTTGGTTAAAGTCATGAATTCAGCGTAATGTTGTGCGTAAGCCAAGATTCGATTTGAAGATCATTGGTTATCTGACGTAGAATGAAATTGTGATAGGTACTAAAAAAAAGGAGTCGACTATCTTATATGAGGATGATGAATACCGCATAATATTCGTTCAATGTTTAATCACATCATTTGTATAAACTAATCTCGTTCAAAACTTGTATTAGGTGCTTACTACAACAAGTTTCTGACCTTTCCACGGCCATATCGACCCGGCTCTTCTCAGTGGCATGCTGTTGCGTGCACAGGGAGTCATTGGTCTCAAATGATTGAATGTTGATAGGTTGACTTGACTTTTGAAATAATACTAGCATATGGTTTATGGTCTTCTCGAGAAAAAGCCAACCCGGTCGTTTTCTATGGATTGGGCAGCGGGCACCAGCTGATTTCCGGACGGTGCGGTTTTACTAGGTTTTCTATTGCCGGGAACGAGGAAAAACTGAGGTAGGACTAAGTCAATAGGGTAACGCTAAGTCCTCGCTCCTCGCCGATACGCGGTGGAGGCTCTAAGTTTCGACATGACGAACAGCATCCGTGCTGGAAAATTCCTCCTCGGGTGCTTCATGTGTTGATTATAACACGTACGGATGGGCACATTTCCATAAGTTCACCCATTCTTATAGTGCTCCCATCTAAGCACGCTTAACTTTGAAATTTCAAAGTTTAAAATTGTCGTTACGTCAAAAAGTGTCGTCGTGAGTTAATTCCTGTGTTGACATATATATCTCATAATCACTCTCCACCGGTTCGGTGCACAATTTAGTTCATTCTTGCCCACTTTGCCATCTTAAAGGCCTGCTAAGAGCCGCTCCTTGTTTAGACCCTCTGGCTCTTGTGACCATTCCCCGCCCTTGTCGCCTCGGGTCATTACAGGCCCACTAGCTTTCGCCATGTTTCGTTGCCGAACCATACACCTACTGGAGGGGGTCGTGCTTTGATACTATATTGTGACGCCATGGATTTAACTCACTTGAGGCATTGTCCGCTTTAGCCCATTCCATTCCGAGTCTCAAAGTTTTGTCCTTTGACGTACAAGAGGTTATCTATCCTAGTAGTGCTCCCACCTGAGTACGCTTAACTTTGGAGTCCCAAAGCTAAGTATTGCTATTATATTAAAAGGCGCTTCTGTGAGTTAATTCTAATTTTCATATATATATAATCCTCTCCTATTCGGTGCATAGTTTGGTTTATTTCCACCCTTCGCTATCCTAGAAGCTTGCCAGGAGCCGCTCTTTGTCCAGGCCCTTTGGCCTCGGTGACTACTTCTTGCCCTCGTCGGACCGGCACTACAAAAAAACTGATTTTTTCCGACGAAATTTCCAACGAAAAATTCTGGAAAATTCGTTGGAAAACGAATTTCCAACGAATTTTCCAACGAAAAAAAATTCGTTGGTAATAGGTCGTTGGAAAATTTTCCGACGAAAAATTTTAATTTTCGTTGGAAATTTGCGACGAAAATATTTTCGTTGGAAATTTCGTTGGAAAACTCGTGACTAAATTCGTTGGAAACGAATTTTTTTTTTCCGACGAATTTTTTTCGTTGGAAATTACAAATTTTTTTTTGATCGAAAAATCGTGGAAAGTTTTTTTCCATCAAATTTTTTTTTTGGTCGAAAAATTTCAATTTCAAAAATTTTTTTTTTGGCCGAAAAATGGCCCTCGCCGGCGGCGAGGGCCAGCCTCGTCGCCGGCGAGGCCCGCGGACCGGCGAGCGGCGGTTCCAAGCAGCTCACGCGGCCGAGAAAGGAAGAGAGAGATCAGGTCGGTTGGACGGTGGCGGTGAGGCGGGATGGGTGGCGGCCTCGCCCAGATCTGGGTGAGCTCGGCCCTCGCCGGCGACGAGGCGTCGGGGGCGTCGGGGGCGGCCCATGGTGGCGTCGGGAGCGCCGACCGCCGCGGGGGCCTGGCCCTGGATGGCCGCAGCGACGCCTTCGGGGACGGAGCCGACGTCGCGGATGACCTGGATGCCGATCTTGGTGTCCATGGCACCGGAGCCGAGTCGGAGGAGGAGGGGGGGCGGCGGGGGAGGCAGCGAGGAGAAGGTGGAAGGCGAAGGAGAGACCGAGAGAGAGAGAGGGACTCGGAGAAGGGAGGCTTGGGGGGGAAGGAGATGAAGGAGACGGCCATGGCGGAGCAGAGGGAGCGAGCGAGAGAGAGACACTAAAATAATTGCCCGGAAAATTAAAATTCGTTGGAAAATTCGTTGGAAATTTCCAACGAATTTTCCAACGAAAATTGTATAAACTGAAATAATTGCTCGGAAAATTGAAATTCGTTGGAAAATTCGTTGGAAATTTCCAACGAATTTTCCAACGAATTTTAAAAATGCCGAACGGTACCGTTTTTTTTGTAATTCGTTGGAAAATTCGTTGGAAATTTCCAACAAATTTTTTTTCGTTGGAAATTTCCAACGAATTTTCCAACGAAAATTGTATACAATGAAATAATTGCCCAAAAATTGAAATTCGTTGGAAAATTCGTTGGAAATTTCCAACGAATTTTCCAACGAATTTTAAAAATGCCGAACGGTATCGGTTTTTTTGTAATTCGTTGGAAAATTCGTTGGAAATTTCCAACGAATTTTCCAACGAAAATTGTATACAATGAAATAATTGCCCGAAAATTGAAATTCGTTGGAAAATTCGTTGGAAATTTCCAACGAATTTTCCAACGAAAATTGCACAAACTGAAATAATTGCCCGGAAAATTGAAATTCGTTGGAAAATTCGTTGGAATTTTCCAACAAATTTTCCAACGAATATAAAAAATGCCGAACAGTACCGGGTTTTTTGTAATTCGTTGGAAAATTCGTTGGAAATTTCCAACGGAAAAAAATTCGTTGGAAATTTACAACGAATTTTCCAACGAATTTTGTTTCGTTGGAAATTTCCAACTAATTTTCCAATGAAAATTTTTTCGTTGGAAATTTCCAACGAATTTTGCGACGAAATATAGTTCGTTGGAAATTTCCAACGAATTTTACGACGAAAAATTTTTTGTTGGAAATTTCCAACGAATTTTACTTTTCGTTGGAAAATTTGTCGCAAATTTGCAACGAAAATTTTTTCGTCACAAATTTTCGTGGCAAAAATCCAGTTTTTTTGTAGTGCGGGTTGTCATAGGATAATAATGCTCATGATTATGTTTAGGCTACAAAATGCTGGTTATCAAGTGCGCCTAAACTGGTTGAGCCAGGCCCATTGAGTGACCAACTTGCTAAACAAGCACAGTTCCTTTCAAGTGATTGGTAGGATATAGGCCCAAATGGCTATATGCAAGCAGGGGTTGCAGATAAACAGCTCTAGGGCAAAAGAGTTGACAATATCTAGATAACCATTCTATTCT